CTTTTTTACAATATATTATCAATGTTATCTTTCAAAAAATACATTCACATTTATTATAAAAAAAAATGATGTCACAGGCACTTTAATAGTTTTACAAATAAACTATCAGGAAATATCACTCAACATTGTGCCAAAGATAAAATTGGATATGAACTGACAGCAGGGCCGTGTGCAATGTGAGGTCAAACCAATGCAAAAAGGATGTTTTCCTCTTGTAAAATCAGATACAAGATCAACAAGTCATGTATATACAGTATTAGTTTACACAAAGACCTGTGTGTTTCCATAGATTGTCCTGACAAAAGCAGTCAAGCAGTGACTCCTGTGATCAGCAAAGATTAGTCCTTATCCCCTCTTGTCTCATCTCCAGACACAGCTTCTCAACCCTTCTGTGAGTACAACCCTGGTTAGAAACACTCACCATAAGACAGTGATGCCAGCCACACTGAAACACCCACACATTTACACAAACACACACAGTATATATATATAAAAACAACAAGCAGTTGGCTTTGTTACCAAGCAACAAAGTAGAAGTCATGGTTCAATGAGTGATGTAATCTCTTTTGTTGTATTAGGACAGGAACTCGTTGTGTCAAACAGACATGCCATTGTTCCTTCACTGACAGGCTTGAAYAAACTTACATTGACTGTTATTTACTGATTTATGGAGCAGTGAACAGTTTGATTGTGTGACGCTGGGGGATGATGGACAGGCTGACAGACAGAGAGATGCACAAAACAAACAAAAGCAAAGCAAGGCAGAGCAATATTAGCCCGAAGGCATTAAAATACAGTCGCCTTGAATTACATTTAGACAGTAGTTCTTATTTTTATCACCATGTGATAAATAAAACTTATAAATAAGTCAGACATCTGTGTTATTATTACCCAAATGAAGTCTTGGCTTTGTTTGAAGCAGGCTTGACACGATAACAAATTTTGCCGACGATAAATTGTCTCAAAAATTATTGCRATAAATTATATTGTTTGGAAACCATTTGAAACTACTATAATGATACCACCTTACACACACATGTTTATGATGCTTATGGAAATATACAAAATTTAAGTACGTAAAAAAAAAAGCTACAGACGGAGTTTGCTGAAGCTGTAAAATCACTTCCCACCTCCTCTACCCAAGCCTGATCCTTGCCATCCTACACAGTTCAGCTCAATTCTAGTTTCCCTTCTCAGCTCCGTCTGGGATTTCTCCCATAGACGAGGATTTCTTGGGTACAATTTCAACCGGGCCAATCAGAGAACAGAAGGAGGAGTTGTGAATGACGTCGATAGTTTAGCAGTTGCTGGGGATGGTTGTTTACAGCACACGCGCTTTCCGGTTAGCTTCTTAGCTTAGCTTCCTTCACGGTCGAGCTGGTGCTCTACATACACTTTATTGCCAAAAGTATTTGCTCACCTGCCTTGACTCACATATGAGCTTCAGGTACATTCAATTCCTAATCCACAGGGTGCAATATACCATTGGCAGCACTACGACTCAGTGGTTAGCACTGACGCCTCACAGCAAGAAGGTCCTGGGTTCGATCCCCGGTTTGGACCTGGGGTCTTTCTGTGCGGAGTTTGCATGTTCTCCTCATGCTTGCGTGGGTTTTCTCCGGGAACTCCGGTTTCCCCAACAACACAAAAACATGTACAATAGGTTGCCTTCAGGCCCAAGCCTCCCTTGAAAAACAGATCTGAGATCTCAATGGGATTTGCCTGATTAAATAATGGTAAATAAATAAATAGAACAGCTTCAACTCTTCTGAAGGCCGTCCACAAGGTTTAGGAGTGTGTTTATGGGGATTTTTGACCATTCTTCCAGAAGCTCATTTGTGAGGTCACAAACTGTTGTTGGACAAGAAGGTCTGGCTCTCAGTCTCTGCTCCAGTTCATCCCAAAAGGTGTTYTATCAGGTTGAGGTCAGGACTCTGTGTAGGCCAGTCAAGTTCAAACACACCAGACTCGGACAAAGACTTGGATGGCTGAGCAAATACTTTTGGCAATATAACTTGTGTCACGGCCAAACATTAGCGATTGAGTAAATCAGATCCAAGCGTTTTAAACTTCAACAGCCTCCAGCAAGAAATCACWTCTCAAWTTCAGAGATACCAGACCSTCTGTATGAAGTAAAGATTAGAACAAGGGACTGGTTCTTACCAGGCTACCTCTCTATCMAAGCCAGGGCAATTTATTCTTTGTGTCKTCTTCTGGCTTCRTAAAATAACTTTGGTCACCCTCATGCCACTTACAAAATTTACCGAAGTTTGCAWAATTTCGGTAGCATAAAAAAAGAAATTTCGGCACGGTGCCCTGAGGRTGTCCTGAGGCATCGCCAGCTGAAAGAATGCATTAGAAAACCAAAGCCACTCCTTTAGCTACATGCATTGGCATAATTTKCAGKRGGGTTAGGGGGGTTATGACCCCCACAATAATTTGATCCAGTCAATATAACCCACCCCCCCAAATAAAGTGACAGCATTTTCTCAAAAACAATAGAAATTTACTGGTKAAGTAGACAGATGCAACTCTCTTGTTGTCTTTARGTAACTTTGACCGGATTAAAAAATTCACGATGTGATATATGTWCGTTTAAGCATAATTGYTGAAAATGACACGCAGGRTTTTAGAGCCCAACGGCAGACCTAAATAAAGTTACGCCTTTGGCTACACGCCTGTTCTCATGCTACAGAGGTTATGAGACCATACACCTGGAAAATACCTGACGTCAGAGTTCACTCCTCCCTACAGTAAGGAGTAGAAAAGAGGGAGACATGAAGAAAACCAACAAGCAGGCAAATGAAAACTATCAACCTCATTTTAATTTATCATGTGATTATCATCATGGCAGGGCTATTTGGAAGAGAAAAAAATGAGTCTGTAAAATGTGTACTGCAAGCTGTATTACACAAGAATTAATTACATTTGAAATGTAGCAAAGAGCTAAAACACCAGTAAGTTGAAGCGCAAAAAAATACTCCCTACTATGCATTCCTTTAAATGGTTTAAAAAGGGTTGAGCTGACAAGAAAACCATTGAACAGAAAGTCAGAAGAACAGACATTTACAGGAATCACCTAAACTTCAAGGATTTAATATTTGATCTTTGGGATTTACCGGTGCACATCTAACATTTCCGACAGAATAAAGAGCGATTTACTTCTCATTTTAATTTCTTCTATAACCACTTCTACAACCTTGCATTTTTTTTAAACCAACGATACCTACAGCCCTCCTGCTTTATGCAACAAAAAATAAAGAAAGAAAGTTGGAAAAYGCTGAKTCGTACTTGGCAGTGGGACGTGTTGATGTGTCTTGCAGATCTCCAGGATCGAACAGCTGGGAGCCCTTCAGTCCCAGCTCCTCGCAGCCACGAAGGAACACACTGAGGTTGTCCTGTGTCGAAATCACAAACGCACACACACGGTGATAATTAGTAACCATGTGAGAAATCAGCTCACACTTTGTAAACAAACAAAAAAAAAAAGACTGGCTTTGGCATTTTAACTGCAGAAACAAAAGAGCTGAACAGAAGATGTGACCTGTTGCACACTGTTAAACCCCTCATTAAACATCATCTTCACACAATTCAACAGATTATTAAAGCAGCTGTTTTACTCACATTAACTCGCAAGAAACTGAAAATAAAGACGACAATTCAAATCTGGATACCTGTTCAACAGAAAGGTGACACCAGCAGCTTCTCTCTCTGGGTTTTGCACACCCTCTCTCTCAGACTGAACCAACTTTCCCTTTTCCTCTTGTTGCTGTGTTTAAGTTTTCCTGTTTTCCTGCGCACCTCTCTTCACTCATCTGTTTTCTTTATGTCTTCCTTCCCGCAATGTCCACATCCCAGAGGTTTTCCTCTCTGTTCTCCCAGTCTGCTCTGACAAATGCTTTGTTGGATGCAACCTGAGCCAAGATCTGCTCCTGTGTTCCCAGGTTCCACCGCTCCCTCTCTCTCTCTCTTTTTTTTTTGTTGTTTCTGTCTTTCAGAGGGCCACAACCAAACCCTTCCCTCTCTTTCCTTCTCAGGGTGTCAACATTTCCTCTCCACCTCAATTGCCCGAAGCTCTCTCTCTCTCTCTCTCTCTCTCTCTCTCTCTCTCGTTTTATCTCCCATGTCAATGTTTCTTATATTCACGTATTCTGAGAAAATGCTAAATGCCGTATTTTGTGCTAACAGCTACGCCAGCAGCCTTTTTTTTTTAAGGACTGGTATAATAACACATGCACGACAAACTGACACACTTGTTCTCACAATCCCGTTTTCACTTCTAACAAAACAAGTGCCTGCAACCCACCCTGCAACTTCCTGTGTTTTTGGGACTGGGCCACGGCTGCTCTCCTGGCGAGGGAACCCCACCCACAGACACAAACACTCACACGGCCATGCCTCAGCAGTTTGACCAACTAGTTTTACTTTAATAAAGGCAAGTAAATGATTTAAAATATGCATTTTTATCATTCTTTTAGGATTAACACATTAACGGGGATGTGCAAAATCRGTTGGATGTCATTTTTACATCGCAGTAATTAAAGAGAGCCGTGTGACGCTGCAAACTTTATGTTTGACAAACAGCCTTCAGCATGAAAATTACTACTATTTACCTTGAGGGGAGAGTCCCACTGCGTGTTCACTGAAAAACACGAGTCAGCCCAGAGACGGTTGGAAACTGAACATGTCAACCTGTGTAACTGAGCTCTGTGCCGCAGGTTTGATCTGTGATTGCTTTTCTAATTACAAAACAACCTCAACTCCACAGAGACTTGTTTTCCAATAACCTCCAAACAGGAAGAGGAAGCGGGAGTGTTTTATTATGGTAGGCCAGATAACACAAGACCCCCTGTTCTGGGTTTCTCACCTCTGTAATCGCAGCCAAAAAAAAGGCACAAATCACAGAATTATGAAACTTTACGAGAATAAAAAGTTGCATTATTCAGCTGAAAATGCCCCTTGGTATATTTTTTTATATCTTAGATTTGTTTTTTTTTATTCTGATGTCACATGACTCGCTATATGTAAACATGCTGTCTTCAGCTGAGTGTTTTTGTCCCTTTAGGCCAATTAGCAATCATTGCATCCTGTTTTTTTAGCTCAGTAATTGTGGCGTGGACTCCAATGGACAATTAGAAACTTTGTTTATAATGTAATTTCATGCATCAGTGGCTTGTGTTTGAGATGCTTTCACAAACGAACAAAAAACTTAAAAAAAAAACAGAAAAAAAACCTCATGAATCACTCTCTCCACATTTTCTAAATATACTGTACAGCACTTTGTCATGAAATATAAGATCCAGTCATCAAAATAACAATTTTCTTTGTGACACTGCTGCAGCAATTAAACTAAGTCTATTTAGAACCAATATCCTGTTTTTAAATCTCCATTTATAATAAAATCAGCAAAAACTTCATTTCACATAATCCATCTTCTACAGCCGCCCTCAKTGGATCTTGTTTAACACATAAGGGAGGAATTTAAAGTACATTAGATGCGAGTTGAGCTCCATCCTATCAAATATCCCAGCTTCTGTTTACATGCAAGTACTGGTCCTGAAAGGCCACTTCATTCAGATCAAGGTCTTGGGTCGCTATGAAAGAGCTGCACTGTACTGGACTGTATTCACTGAACAGTATCAGTGTTCAACGACGGGAACAAACCTAAGACTCTGCAGCGAAACCACAACTGACAGTACATAATGCTCATTTCAGGTTTGTTGAAGAAAGAAGTCGTTTCTCTTTCATTTCTGATGGAAAAATAGATTTTGTACAAGGTTTTACTACATATTTTCCACACAGATGCTGAGATYCAAAATATCAATCCACACAGGAAGTGAGCAGAAGATCTGGCTCAGTGCAGAACTTTATGAAAGAACAATCAGATGATTGAAGAGTCCGTGAGACACAAGTCAGATGATGGACACTTTGAGACAGAGAGAGACTTCAGCTGCTGCTG